CATTAGGCTTGCTTAGAGTTCGAATCCGCCCGAAATATACGTCGGATGAAGGCCAAATTTTGCGGTCTCGTTATTAGGCCTTTGATGCCTAACGAAAAAACATTATTAACGAAAAAACATTATCTTCATCGCAATTAACTAATAAATTTAAAATAAAATTTATACTTAAAAGTAGTAAAAAGTCATGAGTCCGAGCCCGACGACCCTAAGATTAGATTTAAGGTAGTTTAAGGGCGACTTTAAGGGTGTGGCGTATGGTCCTCGCAAGTCAGAGAGCACCCCCAACATGGAAAAAAGAAAAGCATTTTCTTAATATTTTGAAAATTCCTGAACTTTCTTTTTACATCATCTATTGTTTTTTATAATTTAAGATTAAGATTTCAAAACATCACAGTATTTTTTTAAAAAAAAGTAAGAAAGAGAAAAATCACAGTATATTTAAAAGAATTTCTATGATTTTAGCTTCAGAAGTGAAAAGATAAGGCTGAAGTCGCAGCTCATTATTATTATGTCTCAAACTGAGGCAAAGCAGCTTTAATAAGTAAATAAATAATTAAAAACATATCAATTTCAAGGGGAATTTTGTTATCTCTGGGGCGACGCTTTAAAACAAGGCAAAGTGCAATTTATTGTTCTCAAAAGCATTAGATTGGTTATTTTAAAAAAAATAATAATTTTAATATTGCTGACAATATTTACCCCAGCTAATTTAGTATTATGGTCAACCCATGATGATTTCGAACGATCTAACAAACTTTACGAGGATAAAATAAATACCTCATTCAAAATGTGTTATCGTAGTAATGATTTCTGTATCGAAACTGATCAAAAGCCAAACATTTATTTTAAATATATATTTGAAATTCCTAGAGCTCATTGTCAGACATTCAAGCATTGAACCAAATACTGCGGTAATGTCCATTTATATATGTCATTATACAAAAATTATAGTTCGTGTTTTGATCCATTCTCAGATGCCACCAAAGTTTATTTTTCAAGCAGTTGAAAATACATTCGAGAGGAGAAAATTCTATATTTTAAACCCAATTTCTATGCGCAAAATAATGGCATATACAAATAAGCATTGCAGAACTAATTTCCATCATCCTATGACTGAAGCCAAATGACAAAATATAGTTGTGTCTGAGACTTATACGTAGATTTTTTATGAAAAAAATGTGTGCATGTGTGTGTGTTCTTGTTTGACGTATGAGGTAAAAATATAAAAAGGTTGTAAATTTTAGAAGAAGAACTCGATACCGAAAAACATTAAAAATGATCGGTTGTATTGATTTTGAAACTCATATATTTACTTTATATGTTAACCTAGTCGAATTAAACTTTTAGCTCGAGGGGGTGCATTGAAAGCAAAAAGGATTTTACTTCGCATAGGGCATCTCAAATAAATATAAGTTTGTTATGTCCGCTAAACTTTTGAGAGCTGAAAAACTGCGAAATTTGAGATATCTTTTCAGTTATTGCTTTCCAGAATCTAAATGATGCATAGCATAGGGGAGAGTGGAGTCAATTGTAACAGGGTAGGATTGTAACAGAGCAAAAATTTCGAGTGTCGGGTTCTAGATTTGGTTTCTAGGTGGCGCACAAGGTGTATTTTATAAAACTACATGTACACCACTGCTGGCAACCATTTTTATGTACTTTTGAAAGAGTTAAATCACAACAGATATTTTCACGCTACGTAAGTACTTTTTTTGGTATTAGAATATTATATTGTGACAAAGTAATTTTGTTTAAACAAATAAAAATTATTAACCGAATATGTAAGTGGACACCTTAATTAACATTTCAAAAAAAAAAAATTAGTTTAGTTAATTAACTAGCATTTTTTTTAACAAATGAAGCTGAAATGGCGTCTTGGGGACAATTGTAACAATAAGTAAAGGGACGATTGTAACAGCTGAAAATAAATAATCTTATGTTTACAAACCATTACTTAACTCTTTAAGAACCACCAATAGTTTCCTATATCATTTATATTATGTTGCATGTGCATTATTTTATTTGTCACCTTTCACAGCATAAATTAAAATTTTTAACCCCTTAAAGTTAAAAGTTTAACCCTTTAGGTCTCTGCTCATTATTATTTTTACTCCTAAAATATCACTACTATTTTGATCAATAAAAAAATATATCACAACTATGATAATATGTATAATTAACTATGTTTTAGTTGAATTTATGAACTGTTACAATTTACCCCGTTAGGGGGGCCAATTGTAACAAGTCCACGACTGTCAAAAATTGTTAATAACTAATATAATAACATTTAAAATAAGGTATTTATTTTTTCCAGTAGAGGATACTCTACTTTACTCGTCTGTCAATTAATATTAATAATATATTGGATTTTTTTTTAGTTAAAAATAGTTAAGCAAAAACTGTTACAATTGACCCCACTCTCCCCTACAAAATTTTGTATGCACCAAATTGAAAGTACAAATAAAACTTCAGCGGAGAAAACTAAGAGGAAATCACTACATGGTTAAGTAGTTAGTGGTACTGATTTCCATCAATTATAAAAATAAAATCATCTATATAAATTAAATCGTTTGTCTGTCTCTGTGTGTCCTTCTTATAAATATTGTACCGTTTGTTCTATCATCCTGAAATTTATAACCCAATCTTAAAATTCATTCGAAATAATCAATTAAAATCCATTTTTATACATATAACATAAAAGATATTTTTTTAATTGGCCCTGAACTCGCCATTGATAGAAATGTGACAGAAACGATTTTCTTTCTTTCAAATATTTTAAACAAAAAATCAGCTAACTTATAGCATTCTTTAAATAAAAGAGTTTTTTTTTGCACGTTTCTTAATAATCTTTTAATTTAATTGCGTTTTATTCGTTATGTCAGATAAACTCAATGATCAACATGAAAATAATAATATCGACGGATTGCGTCACCAGATTAATAAAGTTTAGTTGAAACCACGTGTTTATTTTGTTTATAGTTATGCTTTTAAAGCACGAATCTGTAAAACTAAATATTATAGATTTTGTAATTATATTATTGATTCTCCAATCAACATTAATTTTATTTTATTTTATATCAGTCATTGAACAGCCGACCCAATTTTGTGTTTACGACAGCTAATATTCAACTCCGTGGCCTAGCAACTTTGAAATCAATCCAGTAGATAAAGGAACTCCTGGATCAAGAATTGAGAAAAATTTGCCATAGCTGCGAACTTTTTTAAGGGACTCATCCGCATTTGCGTTACATGGAGAGGAAAACCACAAAAAAAACACCCAAGATTAGCGTCATGGCAAAGGAACTCTTACCCATGATCCGTCTACCACTGAGGATATTTTACGTCAACAATGTGTTCGGTGCGAAGCTGGTGCGGAATCCGTATCAGCCAGCTATTGCTGGGATTTGAGCCCGATTTATCTCATTGGAAGGCGAACACTCATTCTCCTGAGCTGCCATGGCTCAATCAACAGTAATGAAATAAAAAATAATAAATTAAGTATTGAAAAGAAAAATTAATAGAGAAATAATACTAATAGTTTAGTCGACTGTGGGAAGAGGTGCGCTTGAAAGACGGAAATGAGATATTAAACGATGTGCTTTTGCACATTGTAAGGGTGAGACATTTGACTTATCTCTTTAAAAAGCCCTCTAGGAAAAAATCAGGGTTCTACATGCTCATTTAACTGCTTGCGTGAACTACAAGTGGCTTGTTGTAGCATTACCATTATTTTTATTTATTGTCTGCAAATTTACAAGTATTTCATATGCCTTCTAAAATACGCTTCTTACAATATGTGATGTTTGAAAGAATCTATTATGAATGAAAATGAGAAAGATTTTTCGTCTTAACGGAAGTGGTTTTATAGACTATTCCAAAATACAGATGTACCAACATGTTAACAGAAACATTGTACTGCATTGTTTTGTCCATTCTTACGAAGCTATACTAAATAAGAAAAAATCGAATGCGATTCGTTTCGTACAAAATTACTAAATTAACTAAAAAGAAATTTGATATTACTTAAATTTTTGTTTTGTTATGCTATACGATTATATAAGCCTATCATTGCACACATTGATTTACTTCATAAATCAAAAAGTGGAAAATGCGATGAAAAATATCCATTATTTCATAAAACTTCTGTTATAATATAATTTTTTTAATAAAATTTTTGTCTTTCAGAGGTGTTAGTCTTTATTATTTAAGAAATTTATTTTAAATACAAAAAACTGTGAGTAAAATTGACACTTAAATTGAATCTATTTCATGAAAGGGAGTTAATCGATTTGTGCAAGTAACGGCTCATACATTAAAACCTATTTACATCAAACAAAGAATTTCCGTAATAGCTTCCAAGAACTTGTAAACACAGCGAATCGGTTGCATCAGGAATATGAACAAAATGGAATTGAAAAGACGCTTATTAAGACCTCATCATTCTAAACTATCTGGATAAAGAAAGTGAATAATTGTATTAGGCGCTTATTTAAAAGAACGGAAACTAGAAGGATATAAGTTCGAGAGGAAGAACTCAATTCTGCAGTTCGACTCTTAAAACAGGAGACTTTGTGTTACTATGAAGAATAAGATTTGACATTCGTCACTGTTGATTGTGCAGACAATAATATTTGATACACAATAATAAATCGATGCCAACAATAACTGTACGGCAGAGGTTAATAGATTAGGGATAAATAAATCTTGAAAATGTTCATTTCATATCTAAAAGCATTATAATAATATGCTCACAAAATTTCTTAAAATTAGACTGAACGATTACATTACAATAGCTGTTAAAATCAATTAAAACTTTTCAAAAATAATGTGGTTAATTTTATTCATACAAGTAGTTATAGCACAGAAATCGGGTCATGGTGGGGAAAAAAGTATTTAGTAGAACATCTGATTTCAAAGCCTATTATAATAATGTGCTTTGTGTAAAGGTGATAATGAAAGTTGTATAAGAAAAAAGTTATTTACATATCGTGTATTTCAATCTAAGGAGGTGCTGAGCACAGCCATCGACTGGAGGTGATTTCTAGTATCAAAACTAAAACAGCTGCTGCCCAGCCAGCACCAAGAACAATAAACACTCCATTTAAATCTGATAATCCTAAAGCTGATGCTGATGTGTTATCATAAAAATCATTCTTCAATTTTTTCTTTAAATCCAATTTAAAGAATGCATCGTACATGAATTTGTTATATAAACCACCATTTAAAATTCGGCGTAGAATTGTGTTGAAGCGCTCTTTGCAACAAAAATCTTTCCTGACTGCAACTCCGAACGGAAAATACCCAAAAGCGTCCTTGGAATAAAAGTAGGCTTGAGGGGATCCAAAAACTAATCGGAACAGATAAGGTGACCCAAGCATTGCTGTGTGTTTTGGAACACTTTGGTTGGTACTAGGTGTGTAGTACCATTTATTCTTTGTAATATATTCCCCTAATCCTTTAAGATAGGGTATATCACTTTTCAACAAATATTTTGCTTCCAGAGTGGGTAACGCTGCTCGACACTCCATTTCCCCCTCTTTGACTGCGGTGTAGAGATCCTTGAAATCTTTTATTTGTTTCATTTTGATGGGAGATGTCAAAACTGATAACAGGACTGAACTGTAACATAAAATTAGCACGTATGAATAAAGGAGCCAAATTCCAAGTGGCATCCGTCTGAGCATTGAACGAGGGTTGTATTTTATTCCTTGGCCGAAAGCAGATCCCCACAAATTGAGGAAAACGGAACACATAGATTCTTTTGGTGAAATCAAGGTTCGAAATAGAACTGTCACTAAAAGCAGAACGATAAAGAATAAAAACCATACGAGCCTACTGAAAGGATACGTGAATGCTGAAGTTTTGGGCAAAAATGAAGCATGACGCATCAAAAACGTTTTTTCGAGAGTTAGGTAAGGTATGCTGAAGTCCAGTACAGTTGACCTCTCTTCGGTGATACCCATTAAGGAGAATGCAATGTCAGCTTCATTCCTTGCGAGCATTCCAACCATTCCAGTCCAGTTTCCGTAGGTATCCTTGAAACCGTACGATAAGTCTGATGGAACAAAAATCTCATACTGAAAATTTAGTTTGTGTGACAATAGGTTTATTAATTCTGATTCAAAACCTGAGATAATGGTAGTATTGTTGATTCTTTTAATTTCTAAAACTTCGACGATTGGTAAAACTGAGATTCTGAGTTTAGAGGGAAAATATGCCTTCATTCTTTATAAAATTCGTGTAGAATTCTTCTTCTTGAAATGAGTGTGAAGGTCTTACGTTTGAATCTACAGCTTTTGTCATCAATTTTTAAGTTTGAATTCAGTTTAGGTTCTTCTAGTTATGTCAGTGGCAGGTTCTACTAGAAATGTCATTTGGCAAGAAAATTTCGCAGTTCTTTACAAAATGAATGAATTATTCGTGGAAATATTCTTTCACTTGGAATGGTGAAGATTTACGTTTGCATATAAAGTTTCGTATAAATTCTCAGGTTTAAAATTAGTTTTGATTTGTTTAGTATAGTCCGTTATTAAAAGCGTGCAGTGAATAGAGAGTCTGAGTTGACAAGTAAAATTCTCCATTCTTCTCAAAATGAATGAGTTTCTTTTTTTCCTTTTTATTTTTATGGAATTGTTAAATACAAAACAGTAAGGAAGACAAAGAATAGTATTAGAAGAAAAAGAATAGTATTGGAAAATACAAAATAGTATTGTTCGTTTAAGACTCTGTGCTAATTCATAACAGTTTTTATTTTTTATTTAAAATCTTTAACGAATGATAGTTCTACATAAAACAATCAATTGTAGACTTTTTTTAAAGACATTATATTATTCATTTAAAAAATAACAAGTGCAGAAAATTGAATGACAATCAAGATCCAATTTTTCTGCGTGTCAGGTGCTACGAATATTTATTATTCGTGAGTTGTTTTTCCGCCTGATTCTAAAAATAAAAGATAGTTTTTACACAAACATAATGACTTATTGCTTAGGCATGATGTTTACTCTTAATGATTTATACATCCATGTAAAGTATTCGTGAAATTGTTTAAATATACGTGCCATTAAATAACATTATGGGGGTAGTTCTTGATATTTTTGCGTTTTCTACCTTTTAATCGGTATTATTGCGTGTATTTACAGGAAAACAAAGTGCGTGATTATATAATGATAGATTAATCGTGCAATAAATAGCAAAAACAATACTGTTATGCTTCGAAAATCAAAGCTGAATATTATTAAAGAGATTAGGTATTGATTTTCAACTCACTTAAAACTATTTAACTAAGTAATCGTTTTTTTCCTACCTAAAACTAGGTATATGTTTATTTAAAGATAAAATAATTCGATATTTTGTTTTTGTGCCAATAGTTAAACTTTTACGGTATCGTAGATTTTACATAAAGGTTCTTTAAAGTATTATTTTAGATAAAAATATTTAATTAAATGTATCTGTTCTAACAGTTAAAAATAAAATTTTCTCTTTGATAAAGAGTTTTTTTTTTCTTTTCAAAATGCTATTGGAATCTCGATGTTTTTGTTTACATATGTTTAATAAATATAATAAAAGGAAAATTGTCTTTCCAAAGAGTTTTCAAAATGCGATATGTATTATATGTCAGGACTTTAAAAACTCTTCTTGCGATTTTACTTATTTATTCTTGCACTTGTATATTATTGCATCTGGGTAAACTAAGCGTAGGAGTATTTTCGGAAATTGAAACTTGTTGTGAAATGTAATAATTAATTTATGAGAAATAATAAAAGAATAACTCGCTTTCGTAAAAGTTTTCAAAATGCCATATAATCTGCTTCTGTCAGGGCTTGAATACGTTTTCTTATAATTTGACTTATTTAATTTTAAATTTGCATGTTATTACATCTTCGTAAACTACGATAAGGATTTTTTCTCTGTTTCCATTCTAAAATGTAATAAATAATTTATGACAAATAATAAGAGAATAAGTAGCTTTCTAAAGAGATTTTAAAATGTGATATGTATTTATGTGCTTCTGTCAAGGCTTAAAACGCTTTTCTTGAGATTTTACTTAGCATATTTTTGCATTTGTATATTATTACATCTGCGTAAACTAAGAATAGGAATATTTTCTTCGATTGAAACTTGTCGTGAAATGTAATAATTAATTTATGAGAAGTAGTAAAAGAATAAGTCGTTTTTTAAAGAGTTTTCGAAATGCGATCGGTGTTATGTGCTTCTGTCAGAGGGCTTTAAATACTCTCCTTCTGATTTTACTTATTCATTTTAGCGTTTGTATGTTATTACATCTGCAACAACTACGAGTAGTATTCTTATGGGGAATAAAAACTCGTTGTGAAATACAATAAAAATCAGTACACTGTTAGAAATTTCTCTGAAAAAATGGTTAAATCACAATTTATTGAATGGTTATTTTACCATATTTAATCAAAACAGTCAAATAACCATAAATAAAATGGTAATCAAACTGATAAGTTTGAGAAAAACTGCTTTATAACTGCTTTCAAATATTACGGTTAAGCAACCAGAATTTTATCGCACCAACTAGAACCACCTAATGAAGCTATTTAGTTCTTTGCAACTGCGTACATATCATAGCTGAGTGGGCTTATCTGTCAATCTCATGACCGGCAAAACATGGAGTTCGAGTCTTAGTGTTGACACCATAATATTTCCTCCATTCACTTCAACACATCAAGAATTTCCAGTGTCCGGTACTCTCCAATGTCCATTTCCTTACGAAAAGTCGAGCTCCTACGCCTAGTTAAATAATAATTTTTTTTTATTTTTACGTTTTTGAAAAATGCTAGTTGTAAATTTTTAAAAAACAGTATAGCTTTGTATTCATGGTTTTATAACCATATTTTTTGTAAATCATGAAGGGAAGAAATGTTCTTTACCGTAAACTTTACGGTTAATCGGATGGACAGACAGCTGCCAGTTATTTTACCATAATTTTAGAATGAGAATTGAATTACCATAATTTTCGAATGAGAATGAGAAAACTGTTGATAATGTTGGAGTGGTTTGTTACTCCTCTGAATACATTAAATCAACAGAAATAAGTTTCGGTCATGTGTTGGCAACACATATTTTCTTTTCATATAATGAAAGTGACGTCATCAGTGCATATCATTATGGAATCTGTATATAAAGCATGCATTGTTATAAGCATGTGTTCTTGTCTTGTCTCTTCACTATGTCACTTCACTGTGTGGTTGTTTCCGGTGATGTACCAAAATTTTTATTAAGCTGTATTTATATTTAATATCTTCAGTTGTACTCTGTATCGAGAGATTGTACAGTATGAAATAAAGAAATGTTTAATTCTTCAAGTTTCTTTATGTGAGATAACACTTTCACTCACTACTGTGCTACTCCGCTAACGCATCAACAGATAATAAATAATTATTTTAGTGTCTTATTTATTGTTAGCCGACTATAAGGAAGTCTTGAATATATTATGCTTTAAATTATTTGTATAATTAACATGTTTTCACCTTAATTGCAAAGGAAAATGATCAAAAAGTAATTAATATCCTGTTTTTAACTTGTAAAAAAATATAAGCCTCTGATTTGATTTTAAAATATATTTTCACCCAGCATTAGCTGAGATAAAGAGCACATATGATGGATTACGAGTTGAACTGATTACATTTTGATTCATTAACAATATCACTTATTTCAAATTTTTTAAAATGCATTTAATTCCAACTTTAAAGTGATGCTTTGTGTTTATTTTTATGCAAGCATTTGAAAATTATTTTTATTTAAACTAGCGTAAACTAGCGTTTTCAGAGACAGTGACTGTTAGGTCTATTTTCAATAACTTTAGGCTGTTTTCGAAGCTCCGTCGTCAAATGAAATTATGTTTTCTTATGCTACTTTCATAACTGCCGTGAGTGCTCATAAATGTAAAGAA